TTGCTCTACCAAAAATTATATATTAGAGAAAAAGGACCGCCGGCATACCCGAGACTGTCCAAAAGTAATGGATTTCCTAGTGGTATCCTTCTATAATCTTTTCTGTACCATATAGTATACGAGAAAGAGAAAATTAATTAAATATAGACCCATTCGTTTTGTTACTCACAGCATAGTCTTGAACATCCATTCCGCAAGAAGCAAGTTAATTATTATTATTAGTACCTCGCGTTTGGAGGGTATTTGCGCCAGGTGGCGAGGGCTCGCAAGCGGGCGAGGAAATGACGAGGGGCGTAAAGCGCTGCCCCACATCCCACGCGCATCGATCGCGCCCTTGACCCCGCGCGGCGCGGCGCGGCACCGGAGCGCGCGGATCGATACCCGGACCTGCCCCAGCGGCCGCGGCCGGGCCCCAGGCCCCCGGGCGCCGGCGCCAGCCCAACCACGTCCAAGGCGCGTGCTAAAGCGCCTTTTCAATCGGACTCTCCTGCCTTTCCCGCACGGGGGGATAGCGTCTGCGTAGGTGGGCGCGATTTCCGAGTTGTAGACGACCACCCGAACCCTGAGTTTAACGGCGACACTCATGCAGGTAGTTTGAAGGTGGAGGCAGTGAGTCGGCGACGCCGAACTCGGTGTTGCCGGGCCTCGCCCGTTAACCCACCATTCGGGCCCCTGGGCAGGATTGGGTGAAGGAGATTCTTCGGAACACTCTGGAATCCACAGATATAAATTCGGCGGGAACTTGATACAACTCGTCAAATTGGCTAGGTTCCGGCGATTCTCGCGTCAATAAGCTAAAGGTGTGTAAGCAGTGAGGAGAAGGGAAGGGCGCTCCAAGCCGCTCGAACCTTAGTTCGTGTGTTCCCCTGTCGGGCACTCGACTTTGTCCTGGCAGTTGCCCGAAGCTAGGCAAAGAGGAGTGGCTTGTCCCGGTGCACGTGAGTGGCGCATTGTTTTGACTCCGGTACTATGCTGTGATTTATGCAATTCAGCCCCTGGCAGGTATCAGCTGTTGACCGTTTCATCCAATCGAGCGCTTGAACGTCACAATAGCGACGTCACACTGGTGACGTTCAAGCTCCCGATTGGATGAAACAACCAACAGCTGATACCTGCCAGGAGCAGAGTTGCGAAAATCGCAGTGGATAGATAGGAGCTCTAAGCTGACAGGGCGGCCCTACCTACCATTGTATGGGGAGGTTATCGAGAGGGAAAAACTGCGTTCTGGCGGGATCCAGATCCCACCCCAAGGCGTACTTGTGCAGATAGAGGAAAGCGCCTAGGTGCCTACTCCGGGGTACAAAGTACAAACGCGAGGTAGAAGCATAGCAGACCACTACCCCTCTGTCAGGTTGCATAGATGCTGGAAGTACTCACGCCAACATCTTAAAGGTGGGGCAGTGAGAAGACGGGAAGGGGGCCCCGAGTCTCCCGGAACTAAGTTGGGGTGGCACCCTGATGGGCTCTTGGCATCGTCGCGGCAGTGGCAACTCAAGGCAAAGAGGAGAGACTTGTTTCCGGGGCAGATTAGTAGCGCATTGTTTGTACTTCGGTATTAGCCAGGATTGCTAATAGCTCTGGGCTGGCAATGCGGCCCCAAACCAGACTTTAAATGGAGAGGTTGTCGTGAGGGCAAACTGAGTTACAGCGGGAGGAGAGGAGGGGTTAAAGGCGTAAAGCCATAGGTGGCCACCCCGGGGACATGTGCCCCCTGGTAGAACAAGTAATTGTGTGGGGTAGTAGCCTATACAGGGTCCGTACTGTCCCACGTTGTAGATTAACAGCGTGTAAAAATATCAAATCTAAAACAAGCCCCTAAGCTAAATTCGAGTCGCCTGTTTCGGCGCCCGATTGGTACCTTCCTTCTCAGCTCATGTTTAAGGATAGTCGCAAAATGAGACAGGTCCGTGACGTGACGCAGGGTGAGTTTTATCGTGCAGTGGTTATCAGAAACTCACCATGTGTCACGTCACGGACCTGCGTCTCATTTTGCAAGTAGCCTAAGATCGTAGCGAAATTTGTATGTTCAGGCGAAAGATCAGGCCTAATGCCATGAGCCTCGTCACGTAAAATAAGGCATCATTGCATGTTTGATTAATTGATAAGTTCAGCAAGGACAAAGAGCTGAGGAAAAAATGAATACCAACATCACACATACGAATTTTCTTTACGCCGAAATCGCCCAATCCTTCTGGCCATCAGGCCCTGTAAAATTTCAAACGGATATTTTGATTTTGAAGAATGCTTCACAAGACGGCCTGTTTCCAACTGTTTTCTTCATTTTATCAGAGAAAGACGCGAATAAATATAGTTAAGAAAGATTTTTAATAAAACTTCTAAATTTTAAAAAATTGCAAAAGTTAAACTTTATTCCAAACCTGTCCTACACCTTCATAGCTGAAATTAGAGATGTCTTTCTAAATGCAATTTAATTTCCATTATTAGACCTTAAAACAATTAAAAGAAGAGTTTTTCAAACAGTAGTTTTGTTGAAATGAATAGAATTTTCAAACAATTTCATAAGATTTTCTCAAAATTAATATCAAAATCTGCTCTGAAAAAATTAATGCACAAAAACTCACACAGATTTTAATTACAAAAAGGGCAAAATAATGTCCACAAATTTAAATTACTTCATTAAATATATGATGATAATTCATAAATGATTTGAAAACATTATCATATTTCAGCAAGCATCCAGAGTTCACGCAAGAAACGATTTTTCCCCTCCTGCAAACTTGCTTTTCTTTGAATGACAATTGCATGCATGGATGTGAAGTTGGCGTTCAGGCAAAAATGCAAAAATATGAATATTTTTTACCTGTGGTGGTGTAGACAACTGTGATGGTGTAGACAAGCTTAAACAACAGCTAATTATTATTTAATAATTGGTCAGGGGAGTCAATTTTTAGGTGCAATCAACCCCCAAACTTTTTCCTGAAGCTATCAACTACCATGACAGTTCAAATTGACCCAGGGGGTCAATACTGTCCACTATGGGACTACTGTATATTTGTCAGAAACCTGAAGTTCGATACTTCTTTAATAGAAGCCTTAATTGTCTTTTTATAAATCTGCAAATATCTTGAATCTTTCTTTTCTATGGTAGACACTTGTAATACATAACTAAAATACACATTTAACTTGAAATCAAAATGCTAAACAGTTTTTTTGTTATCAAAAAAGTAATGACCGTCAAATCAAGGCGGTGACACTTGTTGACAAAACTAAATTTTCTGAACAAATATCGTAGACTCATTTTTCCTATTTGAAATTCTGATATCACATAAGAATTCAATTTATAAAAGGCTTTACTAAGCCGTTAATACATGAAAAAGTAATATTATTTCCAAAAGCACACCTGCAAAGTAAGTTGTTTTTTTTTTCTCCAAGCTTGGTTTTTCAATTCTAATATAACAATAAATATTGCTCATAAAGACAAGATGAAATGTAAAATTCAAGAAAGCTTAGAATCTCAAAGTGAGTGGCACCAGCTTACATTCACTTGTGTATGAAAATTATTCCTTTCATTTAATTCTTGCTTGATTATTTTAATTTATATACTCTCATTAACCCTGATACCTTAGATCTCAATTATAATCCATCAGCATTAACAGACATAAAACAAACTTCCCTTGTTTTTAATGCTGACAAGGAAACAAAATTTGTTTTTGTATTTACAACAGATTTTATTTTCACACATCTTCAAATTAAATTTTCTAACAACATATTCAACTTAAGTTTTCATAACAAGGTAATTGCATAGTATTATGTATATTACGTATGTATGCCCTCATTAAGAAGAATTATTTCCAAACTTCCAAAAATAAGATAAAGAAAGGACATAAAGAACAAGAAAGATAAAGAACAAATTAAATGCACACAATAAAATTCACAGCAAAGCTGAACGTTTGATGCAAGAACTTTTTGTGAGGCTGCGACTTTCCTCAGTACGGAAAACAAAATTATCAGTCTAGAAAATTACAATAATAAAATATTAATTGGGATTAACCCGCTAAAGCAGTAGAAATTATAATAATATAGCTCATATTTGTTATAAGTAAATTGTGTTAGGAAAAACAATCTTTAATATTATTTTTATTATTGTGATTTAACCCTTTATTATTATTCATTTACTAGATATTTCACAGTTCAGTCTCAATGAAGCCAATGACATGCCTAAAATATCTTAATCAAACAATTTACCAGCAGCCAACAAATTCAAATTTACAAACTATGTAATTCCGGTACATTAGTATGATAAACAAGAATTCTTAAGTGCCTTCATTCTTTTAAAATTAAAAATATCCGGAAATCATAAACACATAGCAAATTTTAGTGAAGTATAACCTCGAATATTTATTATAATAATAAAATATTAATCGGGATTAACCCACTGAAGCAGTAGAAATTATAATAATATATTTCATATTTGTTATATGATATTTGTGTTATAAATAACAATCTTTAATATTATTTGTATTATTGTAATTTAACCTGTTATTATTCTTCATGAACTAGATATTTCACAGTTCAGCCTCGTTGAAGCCAATAACAGGCCTAAAATATCAATCAATTTACCAGCAGACAAATACAAATTTACATACTATGTAATTCCGGTACATACGTACCTGATAAACAAGAATTCTTAAGTATCTTGATTCTTTTAAAATTGAAAGTACCCGCAAATTTCAAAAAATATTGCAAATTTTAGTGAACTATAACCTCGAATATTAAGAGGTAAATTTTAATACACTTGACATACAATCCAAGTGACAACTCGAAAATCGTTGAAAGTGAACCGTGTATCTACAAACGAGTGAATGTCTTGGTCCTGTACGACATAATTTGGTTGAAATACGTAAAAACTAGATGATTTAGAAAAGGTGACAAGTTAGCCGGCATACTATAACCAAATTTTTCACTATTGAAACGTAATGGAAATTACATCCACAAATCATTTTTGAGCAATTAAAACAGTGTGTGCTTCATATACATACCTCTGTCGAATTTCTTTCCTTCAGGATCGATATCCTTAACGTTGAAAATATCTTCAAATAACACCCCCGCCATGCTCTTGAATACACGTTTACCATATGACAAAGCGGAAGTACTAAACGAACAAATCCATGAACAAGTGGTAAACGCTACATCCGGTCCAAAGGTTTCATACGTCGATCATTTAAAAATTGTCAAATATATTTAAAACACTGTCGTAGAACACGAAACCTAAATTAAACATAAAATGATTTTAGGAGTAGGATATCATCATGGCGACTCTACCTCCAAGAAAAAATCCCACTCCTACCAAAATTTCAAAACAGCATTTGTCGCCTTTACAAATTTTGTTGCAGATGGGTTTCCCCAAACATAGAGCGTAAGAAATTTCATATTTTTGCTACATGAAAATACTCCTATAGTAAAATGCAAATAATGTCAGGTCTTAACCTAACCCCTTTTGAATATCATGTATGTGTATTTTCATCTGGCCTTGTTTTCTATTCTTTGTTAATTTATGTAACAACACATTAATAAATGTAAAATAAGGTTTCTGTCACAGATCATTAATTGTCACAATTAATGTCATGTTTTGGTTACTAACATACAGATTATGTTGCACTTTTATTACAAATAACATTATTGTTTTATAAACAAAACATTATTTTAATATATCACCATCACTTTCTCACTTGATCGTTGTTCTACAAACAGATTTCACTGTGTACTGATATTTTTCAGTGAAAAAGCATTAGCAGCAACTGGAAATAGAGGTGTTCAGCTAGCTTCAGATTGGTTACTGGCTCATGTTAATGATCCTATATTAGATGACAACTGTCCCCGAGAGTACATACTCTATGCTTGTCCTACTGGACCTTTTCTAGAGCAGCTAGAAACATTTTGGAATAAATCATCGCAATGTGGATGGAATGGTGCTCATAATTTTATGCCTCATATAACTTTGGTATCATTTTTCAAGGTAAATGTGAAATTGTGAATTAATTTAAGTGGATAAGAATATTTACAAATTATGACATTAATCGTATGTGTGTTGAGTAGGCTCCTGATGAATGTGCACAGCAATTAGCAAGAACATTGAAGCATGTAGTGGAACTGCAAAGAGTAAATTTAAATGAACCGTTGAAGTTGGAAACCTATATTTCCCAGAATTTTATGGGTTTCTTTGTAGCAGAGGATCATGCTGATATTCTGAAGAGAATAGCAATGCAGTATGTCAAAGAAGTATCCAACACAAGTAAGTTTGTAAAGACAATAAAATCTTAGATAATGATTGCAATACTTCTTTTCCGAATTAACCTTTTATTGGTGGTGGTAATAGTTATGAGCTCCCCACTTCCTTTTTTTACAGTTATTAATGATAACTATGAGCATTTGGATGCTTTGTCAGCTTGTTTTCCATGGTGTACTACAGCTTCAGACAGATATGTTCCTCATGGTGTTCAGTGTAAGATACAAAATTTCATGAAATTTTGTTTTGGGCTTTTGCAGCATGCTACAATCCTTTGACCTTGTTAATTTTTTTTATTAATTTATTTATTTTAATACTTCACCATTGAATTAACTTTGCATTATTTGGTTGGATACATGAGTATGATCCATATTTGTATGAGTTTTTAATTATCTAACACCTTACTGTATTTCTCTCTTCCCTACTACTATATTACTTCATTTTTATCACACAAGTTCAAATTAACTTTTACATGAATGGTAGTTTAAATCAAACAAAGCTAAACTAAAATAAAAATGGTTCTGTTGTTTTGTATTTATTTATTTATTTCTGTTTTATAAACTTAAGTGGTTACTTGTTTCTATAACAAATAATTTTCTGCAGCTATCACCATTGAACCACATGTGAAGTCTCTGCACTTGACTCTAGCTTACCAGTTCCCCCAAGCACAATTTCCCACACTGAAAGCGCTTGTGGAGGAATTACAACCAAGTGCTCCCACGACCTGGGAGGTTCGACTTTATTCACGAGATACTCGTGTAACATCTAAGCAGGTAATACAAGCTTTAATAAAATGAATTTCCAGTTTGAGATTTCACTTCTCTTGAATAATATAATGTGATATATAGGTGCATAAAGTTCTTTATGCTCATACACCTCGCGAGTCAGATGAACTGGAACTGAGAATAGGAGATTACATCTATGTTAGCAGTGAGGCCCTTGCTCTGACTCCAGATGGATGGGTCGAAGGCACATCGTGGCTAACTGGTAAGTATGAATTAATGTTATGTTATGAATGCATGAATTTTTGCTAAAAATTATATGACAACACTCAGTTAATCAAAACAGAATTCTTATTTTGTACTTTCAATATTGTAAAAGAAATGTAATTATTGTAAAAGAAATGTAGTCTTTTAATTCTCTCCTGCACCCTCTAATTGGGTTTAGAAAGTATTGTTATCTATTTCTGTAAAGAAAAGTAACAATAGATAAACAGAAAAATAACATCTTCACGAGTAATTTATATAGTTAAAAAGTAAAGTTGAAAAAAGATTGTGTGTGTGTATATATATATATATACTATATATATATATATTATAATATATAAATATACATATATATGATATATACATATATATATATACCATATATTATATATATATATATACATGATATATACTATATACATATATATATATATACATATATATATATATATACATATATATATATATATATACATATATAGTAATACATATAATATATACTATTATATACATATAGTATATATTAAGTACATATATACTATACCATATTATATTAATTATACATTATATATATATATACATATATAATATACATATATTAATAAATACATAATATATATATCATATATTTATATACAATAATATATACTATATATATATACAATACATATATATACATATATATACTATATATATATATACATATATATACATAGATATATATTATAACATTATACATATATATACAATATATACATATATAATACATATATATAACATATATATAATACATAAATATATACAAATTATAGTAATTATACTATATTATATATACATATAATATATCCATATATAAATATACATATATATATTTATTATTCAGGTATATATTTTACTACATGATATATATACGATATATATAGTATTCATATATAGTATACCATATATATATACATAATATATATTCATAATATATAACAATATAATATAATATATATAATATTATAATATAATAATATATATATTATATATATATATATATAAAATAAGTTTTCAAATTCCAAAGTTCTAAATTGTCAAAGTTATGCTTGATCATAACTCAAACATCCTGGATTTGAGTACAAATTCAAACAACAACAACAACACAAGATACAATTCATTGTATCTTCTCGTTACCTGCACCAATGTGAATCATCTCTGGAACATCACTAATAGATCAAACTCCTGAGATATGTATAAAGTTACAGCTCTATAGAATCCTAAACACATATTTTACAAGCAAGTATTCGAGATCGTGTTGTTCAGGTGATTCTAATATATTGTAGGATCAGTTATTCTGAAAGTACTATTATTATTTTTATGACTTATGAGGATATGTTTGAGTTTTGTAGATAGCTTGTATCTTATCTAAATCTCTCTTCCTGGGATGGAGCTTTCTCGTGTAATCTCTATTTTTAAGTGCCCATATCTGAAAGATAAGTATATATGAATTGCAGGTTGTAGTGGATATCTACCTGGAAATTACACTGAAAGAACCGCAGAATCAGATGCATGGACATTGCATAGGTGAGTCTTAAACTAGTTGCTGCTACAATTGTGATTGTTTCTTTGGTTTGGTTGTTCTTGCTTCATAAGATCAATTACTTATTTGATTCCTACAGAACTGTTGTTTTATATCAAATTGGTGGATCTGGAGAAGAAATGGAAGGCAAAGAGTCCCCTCCTCCCACCTGTCTTGTGGAACGTTTGTCTGATGTTGGAGAAACACCAAGCAACAGTAACAAACCATCTGATGTGACTAGTGAATCAGGAGATGAGAAAGTAGCAGCTGCATATGAAAATATTGAGGTATTAATGTATCTAAAATAGTTTTAAAATATTGTACCTTGTTTTGAGAAAATCTTAAGGAAAATTTTGTCTACTTGTTTTGCTTTTTCACAAAAATATTCATATTCATCAATGATTATTAATAATATTTATTGAGTCACATACATAATCTCCATTGGGTACTATGAGTCAAATGTGATGTATGTGGAGGGAGTACAATTGCACACATCTTCTTGTGCGCAGAAATTCAAGTTACTTTTACTGTCGAGAAGGAAAAGAAGAAGCCATCTGAGTATTTGTTCAAAAGACCCAGAAAAATGGATAAAACAATCTTGAAAGAGATGGGGTCAATTGGTTAGAAAGTATATAACAAAAGTTTTAACAGATAGATTAAGATAGTAAATAATAATATTTAGTAGCAAAATAATTAATTAAATAAAAAGTCTGGTCAACTCAATGAAGAGATGAGATGACTAGATGGGAACAGACGCGAAATTCTTGAAATATTCTTGAAACTGTGTAATACATTATGTCTCTCAAATGTTTTGGTAATCTGTTGAAGAATTGTAAGCCCGTAGAGAATAAACTCTTTTGGTATAATGTGCTTGTTCACATTGGTTGATAAAGGTTATAAGCTTGCCTTGTGTTGTATTAGGTAAGCTAAGGATATAAGCTTGAGATGAATTTATAAGGTGTGGTGTTGTCTGTTAGGTTTTTTGACACGAGGACTTTGTTAATGAATACATAAGGCGGTGGAAGTATGTTAGGTTTTTTGAACTGAGGTCTAAAGGGCTCTGTTCTTTTTTGTGTTTGTTATTGTTTAGATGATTCTCTTTTGTTTGCTTAGCCTCTGGTGCTGTACCCCAGATTATTCCTTATTTGATGATAGAGTGAACATTTGCCAAGTTTGTTGCCATTTGTTCGAACTGTTTCAATGATGCTGTTCTAGTTTTTATTCGATTTTGAATTAATATCTTCTAGGTGCGTGTTCCGCCTTTGATTGTAAGCTAATTTCAAGAAATTTTGTTTTCTGTGCTTGGGTAATGCTGTTGCCATTTACATTTTAAATAGTTTGTTTCTAAATCCTTGTTCTGTTTGACTATCCATGAGTTTTTTGCTTTACTTACGTTTTCACAAATGTTAAAAGTATGTGGTGTCAATTTTCAAAAGAAGATTGACAAAATTTTCCCTGAAGAGGACTTCAAGAACTTGGTTTTTGTAAGAATTCCTGTTTGTCTATGGTACCCAATAACCAACCCCTAGGGTTCAGAAATAGTATGAATTTTGACTGCAAGACAGAAAGATTCCAATACTCAT